TAGGAATATTCTATGAATGGAACAAATTGGGGCTGCTCTTTGTGTTTGGAGTAATATTGATTTTGGCCACAAGGTGGTGGTCTAATCCAACAGCAGAGTTCAGGATGAACTGGTGCCTTGTTGGGGGAAATACTAAAACAAGATAGCATACATCTGCATATGGCACAGGAGTACAGTGCACCATAACTTTTTCAGGCCCCTGGAGCTCTACTCCTCTATATATGAATATGCCTACAGGAGTTAGCCACCTTCCTCCTCTCCTCAGGAGGCTGTAAGTTAGGAATTAACTATGTGAACATTCATTTCTGATGCCAAGATATGGATGTTTGGACTCTTTCTTCCAAGGTATTCTGGGAAAAGGGGAAATTGCAGGGTGGCTAAAGATAACATTTTTAATTTAAGACTTTTAAAATTTTTTTTGGCCCCATATTGCTATTCCTTTCTCCCTATTTTCTTTTTATGAAGAGTAAGTGCACTACTAGGGGATCCTAGAGTCCATCTTGACACTTCTTAAAACCAGATGTATACAGTCATTCTTGCCACCAAAAGGCCCTCTCATAAGGGTCCCCACATGAGGAATGCCCACATGAGATTGGATAGCTGTCGGAATGATGCCCAAGGTCTGTATTCTTAAGCTTTTTTATTTCCCTCAGTTGATCCCCGTATCATCTCTCTAGAACTCAAAAGGACCCTCAGCCATTGTCCTCTAAGACCTAGAGCTGTGGCTCTTGACTTAGTTGTGCATCAGAGCACTTGAAATTCATGTTTCTCTCTGTAGAAGACCTAGAGTAACTGCTTGATTAAATCCTACCTTGCAAATTAAAACTGATTTTTTTCAGGTGGAAATGCATGCAATTACACTATAATCACAAGTATATGTGCTGGAAAAAACGTAGAACTAGTAGTGTCTGTGATTCCTACTAATAAACACCTGTTCTTGTTCATTCATCTGACTGCCTGATAGTACTCACTCAGAACAAAAGACTAATGGGTTAAGAATTTTTTTTTTAGGAGAAAAACAATTAAGAAACAGATATTAACTTACTCTCTTCCATTAAATTCTTATTTGATTATTCATAGAGTATCTTTTTACCAGAGCTGATGTAAATTAAGTTTCAAAATGAACTACTGATTTATCCTAATCCAATCCTCCTCCTTCAGAAGAAATGAGTCATGAGGCCACTGCCAGCTAGAGAAGGATATTTCTAAGTCAGAGAAGATTTGTCAGACTCACTGATGATGCTTCCTTTACATATTGATGTTAGGACCTTTAAGCCATGTTTTAGTCAGGTTTTTCACTGCTGTGATTAAAAGACCCACCCAACAGAACAAACAATTATTTGAGGGCTCACAGTTTTAGAGATCTTAGTCCGTAGAAGGCTGGCTCCATTCCTTGGGGCTTGAGGTGAGGAGGTGACACTGAACATGGCGGAAGGGTGTGGCAGAAGGAAGCAGCTCACGTGGTGATCAGAAAGCAGAGAGAGAGACTCCACTCTCCAGATACAAAATATATACCCCAAAGCCACGCCCCAATGCCCACCTCTTCCAGCCACACCCTACCACTCCAGTTATTACTCAATTAACCTCTATCAGGGGTTTAATTCACAGATTGAATTAACCGTGAATTATAACCCAATAATTTCTCTTCTGATCCACCTTGTATTTTCTTATTCATGAGCTTTTGGAGTACACCACATCTAAATAATAACAACCAGCAATGTCAGTCAGGGCCAGCAGACACTTAACATAGATCTCAGACCAAATAATGAAATCTAGCAGATTAACTCATTGGATGTTCACAGGGCTCCCCACAGTCTACCACTAGGACCTAGTTCTTGGCCCTAGAATAGGACTAGGAAGGTCAGATACAAAGACCTTCCATGCTTCATTTACCCTTATATAAATGGGGTTATAAATTTCAGAAGGAGAAGCTTGGAGCACTAACAAAAAATTCATTTCCATTGTGCTACTTAATATTCAATAATTTAATTTGTAAACACTAACCAACAATACATATGGTATGATAATGATTTCTCATTTAGAAAATTTCTCAGTGAAATTACATTTCTATCTCCTTTTCTGCCAGATTTGAGAAAGGCACTAAAATGTGAAGTTCAAGAATCTCGAAAGAAATGGGGCTTTAAAGCCAGTGGTGCTTTTCACTCTTTGGCCTCTCAGTGGACTCTTGGTTGGTAGAGGACACAGCATTCCAGTCAATAGTCATAGGAGGCTGAGGACTCAGTTATCACCCACCAGCTTCCCCAGGCCTCGCAACTCCCAGCTGTCCCCACTGACCAGCACTAAGAAGGGGGCATTTACAACTCTGCTGGTTCAGAGCGAATTGCTTCAAAACCTCATGTCACATGTCTTGTTTGTCAGGTTTTCATTTTCAGAAAAACAGAGTAAAGTGTACAAAGGACTCTCCCTTGATCCTTTTTGTAGTGTTCCTTATGATTGAGACTTTTTCCAGGTCATCTGTCATTATCTCCAAATTTAGTACAAAGATTTAAAAGGCCACTGAGACACAGAGCTTCCAAGGTATTCGGGTCAGTGCTTGCTCTCCTTTTCCACTGTGTCTCAGGCAGAATTACAAGTACTCATCTTGTTAAGTGTCAGAAGAGTGACTTCCATGGTGGTTGACTCGGTGTTTTCTATAGGCCCGCCATTTTGTTATTTTAGGAAAATTGCAGCCTGTCTCCTGCTCAAACTTGGTGTGGCATCTAATCTACATGATATGAATTGTTTTCTCAAACATGTCCACGGCACAAAAGAAAAAAAAACCATCCATCACAGGCCTGTGATTTTTGTGGCAGTCTCCATATCTCAAATTTATTCTAGTTTCCCTCAAGGAAAGGAGTTTTCAGAAATGTGATATTTCCAAAGTGAGACAAGTCCTGTGGTCTCTACTGAAGTATATCAAAAAGTAAAAGTTAAATATATAAAACAATTGAGAGAAATTTTCCCCTTAGTCCACAGATTATAAACAATTTCCAAAAGTAAACCAGGCTCAGAATCTAGGTGTTGATTAGAAAGAAAAAGATGAATAAGTAGGGATGGCCAAGCGAAGATGGAAGGATAGACAGTCCAGGAACCTTGATTATTATTTTTCCAAGTTCCATACATCATTCATGTTTGAAACTTTACTAATAAGGAAAGAGGTACTCAGAAATAGGACCACATAATTCAAAGTTTAATGTGACCAGTATATTATAGATGGAAAGCAGCCCATTTATATCACATAAGTTAGGGTTGCCCTGACTTATGTAAGAATTGCCAATTCTCTGGTCCTTTCTGGAATGAGCACTGTTGAGAGTTAGGAGCCCAGGGATCTTTGGCTGTGCAACCACTAGTACATTCTTTCTTGGACTCACATCCAGTTGGTCCTACTCCAAACACTTGAAACAGTGAGATACTTGCTGTGTCAGGATTCTCTCTCACTCTCAATACTAAATTATTACACAGGGAAAGGACGTATTGATCCCTGCAGCTTCTAGTACTTGGTACCTACCTGGTAGACTCTTGTGATATTTAATTTCAGGTGTCAAATTGACTGGAGTAAAGGATGAACTCTCAAATAGCTGGTAGTGTTATTTCTAGGTGTGTCCGTCAGGGTGTTTCCAAAGAGACTGGCATTTGTTCTGAGGAAGACCTTCCCTCACTCAATGTGGATGGGTATCATTCAACCAGTTGAAGGTGATAAAATTGATCAAATTATGTGCTTTTGTATATGAATATATCATGATCAAACCTACCATTATGTATAATTAATATGCACCAATAAAAAGGAAAAAAAAGGCAGAGGAAAGGCAAATTCACTCTCTTTGGAGCTAGGAGATCTTCTGTCACTGCACATCAGCACCCCAAGTTCTTGGGTCTTCAGAATTTCACCATGGCTTCTCTGGTTCTCCTGTCTGCAAACTTGGACTACACTATACTCCCAGCTTTCTTGGTTCTCTAGCTTACAAATGGTAGATCACAGGATTCTCCAATTTCCACAATAAATCCCTCATGTACCTATCCTTATTGGTTCAGTTTCTTTGAAGAACTCTGTATAATATAGCATTTGAATAAGTAATGAATAAGGGAATGGACTATGTAGTTATTCTACTGCTAACACTATTACTATTCTAAACAATTCAAAATAATATTACGGAATGGGAGACACTGGAAAATCTGGTAAGACTGGCTCTAAAAGGCATTAGTTACAGTTTGCATGTTTGCTAGAATATATGTGGCTTGAAGGAACCATCCAAAATAGCTTTTTGGCTTTTGTTTCTCAATAAGGAGAAATAAAACGTCTGGTTTGCTGAAATATACATACTTCAATAGGTGCAGACAGAAACATTCAGTCCTCTTTACCAATAAGAATTACAAATGGCAAAGAGGGGGGAGTACTGAATGTGATGTTTTAATGTTTAGCTAGAATAAAAAGTGGAACTCACCCTCTAAGAAGAGAAATAGAATAATATTTGTAAGTTTTGATAAGAAACGTTTCAAGCCATTTTGACTGAGATATGACTACACAAATCTTTAGGAAATTCATAAAAATGCCCACACAAATGGTAACAATTTTGACGTTTGAGTTAAACTTGGAAAAATCATCTCCAAAAAAACAAACAAAACTTATCATTTCAAAAAGCACACACTGCAGCTTATCGCCCAAAACAAAACACTCATTGCTGCCTCAGATTTCCAAAAGATATTAGTCCCCAGCCATCTCTTTCCACACTCTACAAAATCCCTGCCTTTGCTGAGGATGCTCGGGCTCTGGCACTTAACACTGCATGGTTAAGCTCAGAAGTGGGATTATCCAAAGGTGACTCTAGTGATCTAGTGCTGAAGCAAGAACAGTGTTTCTTCTCAGGTTTAGAAGAAAAAGAAAAAAAGTCCAGGGGCTCTGAATCTCCTGTTGTGTGCCTAATGCAAAGGCTTAGAAGAAGAAGCTGATGTGTGTTTTAAATATGATTTATTCTGCCATATTTTCAAATAGCAAAGAAATGTCAATTTTTTTAACTACCCATAACACTTTATTTCTACTTTGTACAAAATACAAAAATGCAAATCTCAAGAGTACAGACTGTGGGGACAGGCACACTGCATGACAGCAAACCTTGCTGAGCAAGACATTAGTTTTTAAACTTTAGTGAATACATGCATTATATAAAACAATAACAGCAACGACAACAAAAACACACAGAAGGCTAGAGATTCTGCTATTTCCACCCCCAAAATAATGCTTGCTATCAAGACTTTGGATGGAGGTGGGCTAAAAAGAATTAAAGAGGCAAATAATATTTTTTTCCATAAAAAAGTAAAAGCTACCATAAAATCTTCTTTTTTTTCTTCTGTCACACTGATTAAATTTCTCCTGAAAAGTCACACATAAACAAAACAAAACAAAACAAAAAACCTTAAACCAGACAGACAGCAAATACTCAAGAGGGTTGTTAGCCTAGATAACCAATCAGTAGTTTAAAGAATCTTCCAGACATTCCAAAGCCTTTCTATTCATTCCTCAGTACAGTGTTGTAGCCATCCTGCCCTTTCATCTCCACAACACCTCCCAAAACAGAAATGCTTGCTTGCATCATGGAGTCTGTGGCTAAGAACTAGTTTTGAAAAAGAAAGCAATGTACAAAAATATTTAACAGAACTATGACGATGTAGGAAAGGAGTCTTTTCTTCATAGCAAAGTAGTCTTTGCTCGCCTGGTTTCTTTTGCATTATTCTTCAGGGTTTGTTTATCTGTCCCATGAATAAGATAGCACCTAGGGAATTAAAGAAACAATAGACGAGTCTTATTTAAAAGAACAATCCTTAAAAGTAGGATGAAAAGTGTGACTTTGAGGGAAGGGAAGGAGCAACAACTAGGCTATTGCTCAACTGCGACTGGGCTGTTAACAAAACTGTGTGAAGGGAGAGATGGCCTACACCTTTGCTGTCCAATGTGGTGGCCACTAGTCACGCATGGTGACTGAGTGCTGCAAGTGTCACCAGTGTGACCAAGAAGTTGAGGTTCTAATTATATTAATTTAATTAGAGTTAAGGTTAGTAGACACACATGGCTCCGGGTCCCTGCACCTGACTGCTCAGCTCTTACAGCATGCTAATCGGGATGTTGAAGATGCAGAGGGAAAAGGAAATACTTTGTTATTAAAATAACAGTAAAATGTATTAGTGCCTGCTCTCTACTTTCCCCAAAGATGATCTCATACTTCATAATGGAGCTATGGAAAACGCTAAAGGCCAGAGTCAAGTTTGAACGCATGACTTGTGGGGCTAAGAGCTACTGGATGAACAATTCCCAGGTCATAACAGCAGGGCAGGCTTAAAGATTGAAAACACAAAGGTTCTGGCAAAATTTAACTAATGCATTTATAAAAATATAGAAAAAAATTACTAGATGTCAAAAACGTCCCAATGGGATGTGGAACCTCTTTGTAGGTTACACATCACCACAATAATCACTGCACCCAAACCTAAAATCCTATGGGTATTTTAAGAACTCTGTCATACTCTGCAACTGCGGCCTTGACTTCCCTACCTCGTTAAGGTAGGTGGTTCTATTTTTCCAAGTATTTGTGGTTGTGACACAGGAGAAACAGACGAAGGGCAATATTGCTGGACACAGCTATGGCTGAATTCTAACAGAGAACAATGGAAGAGGAGGCTCATTTACCTGTAGGATTATGTCGGATAAAAAACAGGAAAGGTCTGTCTACTATGAACCAGGGAGGCGATGACCTTGCAATCAGGATGGCAGCTATGGGAAGAAAAAGGAAATGTGTTATCAGCAGGAGGCCACAAGGCAGAGGGCTCAATGACCCTCAGACACTGGGGTCTGAAGACACACTCATCTCCTACTCCACCGGCTGGCTATGTTGTCACCGCCTCAACGGTCACCATTTACTGAACGTCTACCCTGGGTCAGGCCCTTTACATTTACCGTCTCATTTGTTCTATAAAAGCATCCTCTTCTCTAATAAACCATCCTTGCTCCTCATGGAGTCTATGAAAATTAAATGACATAAAACACATACAGCTCTTAGGACACTGACGGCCACGACATGACCACCATTCACTGTTACTATTAGTTACTTTTTATTTATACCACCCGCCACCTGCGGGCGCCCCCTGGGCCTTTTTAACCTAGTTACCTCTCTTCTGTACATGAAGGCCCAGCTCAGCTCTCAACAGTTTTGTCCGTTGGCCCCTCACTTAGGTCTCCTCGCCTCGGGAATACAGGCCACCCATCTAGACCTCCTACCTCACACTGCTGCTCAACTCCTCAGGTGAACATCTGCCTTCAGGCTCATGGCTCTCAGACCTGCTTACTCTGCCATGCTCACCAATGGTGGCTCCCCCATCGCAAGCCCGTGACAAGGGTAGGTTGAGGCAGAACCGCCCCACGCCTGCTTCAATGACTCAGTCCCCTTCCTTGGATTCCCGGAAAGCACTGATGGCTTTGCCTTAATGTTATAAAGGACACCTATCGTGATTTTGGGGCAAACCATTCCATCCTTGGTTATGAAAATTAATAGTTAGCAGCTGTTATGTCCTCTTCAAATTCACACATGGAAGCCCCAAACCCCCTCCCCCCGTGACTGTATTTGGAGACAGGGTCTTCAAGGAGACAATCAAGGACAAGCAGAGATCATCAGGGTCAGGCCCTAATTCAACAAGAATGGTATCCTTTCTAGAAAGGCGAGCGGGCCATGTTTGTGTGCATACAGAGAAGACCAGGTGAGCATGGTGACGAGGCACCATCCACAGGCCAAGGGGAGAGGCTCTGGGAGAAGCCCAGCCTGCTAACTCCTTGCTCCTGGACTTCCACCCTCCAGAGCTGTGAGAAAATAAATTTCTGTAGTATAAGGCCCTAGCCTGAGGCATTTGTTAGGGTAGCCTGAGCTGCCTGGGACAGCAGGATCTGGGAGGTGACACAGGGCCCCTTGGTTGGCTTAATACCCTGCTGTTGCAGTCTTGAAATTCTTAAGACAGTTTGAAAAAGGGGCTCCATATTTTCATTTTCCCCAGTGTCCCACAAATTGCATAACTGGTCTGAAAAGTTACACTAGTTGGCAAAACTGGTAATAATTTTGGTGAGATTTAGATTTCACAATCACCTAGAAAAGACAAAGATCATCTTAAAAATCTCAAGCCTCTTATTCAAGGTCTTCATGTGAAATGTTATTTTAAAGGAATAAAAAAAAAAGTGTTTGAGAAAGGCAATGTGGTGTCTATTGTGAGTATAAATGACACCAGAAATACTACCAGAAATATTCAGCCGGCATCAAGTGTAGCTCACTTTATGGTTTTGGCCAGATTTCTTTATCCAGTCTCATATGGACAACTGCAGGGGTGGAGGGTCAAGACTGTTCCATCTTTTTCTGCATTACGTAAGCCACCGAGCAGAGCAGATGAGGGTGCTCTACTTATCAAGAAGGCTGCACAGCAATCCTGATGTCATTCAACACATGCTCTCTGACTGTCCTGGGGGAAGCTTACAGCATATTTTCCTACACGTACTTGCTGTTATTTATGTCTCAATCTGAGGACTGATCTTCTCAGCCAACGAGAAGCCAGAGTGTGCTTTATCCTCCTGAGACTGTCCTCAGGCCAAGTCTACAGGGCCAGATACTACAGGAAGCTGTGGGGACATGGTCATGACCATTCACTTGCATCGTCTACGGCTGCCTACATGCTACACTGGCAGGCTCCTGAGATGTGATGGGGACCGTGTGGCTCACAGAGTGGAATGCATAATATGTCCTATCTGGCTCTTCACAGGGCGTTATGACGCCCATCCTAGAGGGATGCCTCTCACTTCCGTGAAACACTGGTCTGTCCATCCGGACTGCTGTCTCTGCAGGTCGCCCCCCGAGGCCCGGCTGGACAGCTGGCTGCCTAGGAGACTGCTGAGGTGAGGACTGTGCTGGGCCTCGGCTTCCCTCTTGGGACTGGCCCTCTCGGGGCACCCAGCACTCACTCGTGGTTGCCGAAGCTTTGGTTCCATCTTCACTGACTTCAATTTTTGCTTTTTGTAAGACGTGGGAGACGTAAAGTTTTTCTGACCCTGTTTCCAGAAAATAAAATGGAATCAGCAACGGTTTGGTATGCAGGCCATGTATTTCATGGGAAAAGTAACCTCAAAGTCATGGCAAATTCCAGTTCTTAAAAACTGTCAGCAGTGACCTCAGGCAGTGCCAGAGACCGAGGGACTGTCAGTGGCTGTGACTGGTCCTGAATTCCAATCTCTGCTGAGGGAACGCACTTCCAGAGAGGCCCAGCCCCCACGTGTTTTAGAGCCTCTAGTCAATTCAACTCTAATCACAAAGAATTTTATTAAAAAAATGAAAACAACAGGGCTTTAAAAAGGAAGCCTAGTAAGAAGCAAGACAATATTTTATCAGCATGTCACACCCAGAAAGAATTTCAGGTGGTATTTACAGATGGGGAAACTGAGGCCCAGAATGCTTCACCAGGGGAGTTTCACAGTCTCCAGAACAGGTATGCGGTGCTCAGTAGCCTGCAACTGGGGTTGGTAACAAACTGATTTCTCACCAGTCAACGGGAAAAACACCTAACCTGGCATACAGATAATGTCTCAGCCAAGGCTTTTCTTTGGAAGGGTTGCTATGTTCTAAATTTTAAAAGCAGAGAACAGAGCATGGCTTAGCTGCTGTGGCAAAGTCAAGACCCATTTGAATTTATGTTATTAAAGATTAATGGGCAATAAAAGGCCAAAATACCTAATTAATATCTAATCAGAAGCCATATTTTTAGGTAATAGAGGCAATGCACAAAGTGCTTCCTCAGCTGTACAGAGACTGGAACTTGTCACGCACATGTGAAATGAGGGGAGAAATGACACGCACCCGTTTAAGTGATGAAGGTAAATAGTGTGATTTGGTGATATCAAAACAGTCTTAAGGCAACACATTTCTAATTCTAGACTGCTTCCCTCTGAACAAATCAAACCCAGTCTGTAACATTTTATTCAATTTAAGAGTAAATTCTAAATTGTACGTACTTGTTATTTTTGCAAAATTTGACTTTGATGGATCAAACATGTCAGTAATGCCAAGAACTTTCAGTGGTTCCTTCAAATCTGTTTGCGCCATAGCTGTGAACCTACATGAAAGCAGAAAATAGGAGGGGGAAATCACAAGGCTTTAAATGATACAAAATGATGGAATTGGTGCACATTTATAAGCCAGATTCCATTGACTGATTGTGGTACTGGGATTGGACCGAGGGTCTCTCCCACTGAACTACAGCCCAGACTGTTTTATTTTGAGACAGAGTCTCCCTAAGTTGTCCAGGTTGGCCTCAAACTTGTGATCCTCCTGCCTGGGCCTCCCAAGTTGCTGGGATTACAGATGTGTGTCACTGTGCCTGGCTATGGCGTCTTTTAAAGTAGGATCTAAACACCAATCTGAACTGTACCTGAACTTTTAATTCTAAATTTAAATACCAGGTGAGTATTGAAATTTAGCTCCTCTTCACTCAGCTGACAAGTGAGCAGGACACACGAACAGCAAGTGTGGGCGACTCACACTCATGTGCAGCAGGCTCCCTGCTGACGCTCAGGAAGCCCTTTCTCTTAAACCAAGGCAAGGGTTCAGCGTGGTGACAAGTCTCTGGTTACTCTAGATTATCTACAGTTCTTCCCCACACCCAACTAAAGAGCCACACCCTGGCGGGCGCTGTAGGGACCACCTTCCTTACTGGGACTGGAGATGATGAAGAGAGGAGACAGATTCCGATAAGGCATGCTGGGATTCTGAAAACATCTCACTGTGGAAACAGGAGTAAGCATTACGAGTAGGTGGCATCGTACTGGTGTGAGTTTCCTGGATACTTGTGGCCAGTCTGGCTTGGGGACCATGCACATGTGAATGCCAGCTATTGAACCCATCACTAGGAATGCTTTCCCATACCTGCTCTCACCCAGAAAGAGCAGCAAGGGAAAGTGAACAGATTCCCAACACAGAGGGCCACGAAGGCAGCTCTAAGGCTCACAATGCCACCATCGGATTCACTTATATCAAGCTCTGCCTACTTGAAGGCTTACTTTGCAAAAGTATCAGCAAAAAATTTGGGGAGGAGTTCTAATAATTATTGTAAATTTATTACTCTGATTACTTAGCTGGTAACAGAAGAATCAAAAGCTGCTAGACTCTCCACTACCACCAAGGATGGGTAGTCAGACACTCTGAATAGTGGGAGAATGGTAATGTCGAAAAACTCATGGGAAGGACAGACATTCACCCCCTCCTTCACAGGTATGGACAAGGCATTGTCTGAACTGTCAGAAATTAGGATTCATATAGAATTTGGGATCACTTTTCCCCTCAAGTCACAACAGCTCAAATCCCATATATATTTTACTTTTAAGGTATAAGAGAAAAATTGCCTTACTGCTAATATAAGAATTCTGCCTGTGTAGATTCTAAAACATTTTATTTACCAGCTAGTGTGTGGCTGTGGTCATTAGTAACTTCTAGCTAAAACTTAAGAAACAACTAAAATGATGCTCCTTATAAAAATCCATGGAACTCTCTTAACTGATTAAGTTCTAAGTCTTCAATTTTGTGACTATTTCAACAAAGTTGACACAGGTGCATTAAGACAGCTGTAAATCATAATTGACAGCCTTTATACAGCCTTTGTATTTTCATACCTACATTTTCCCAATGCTCTAATAATTAGCCTATTACTCTTCCCAAAAGAATAGAACCCTAAAAACATATTTACTACAAAAGTTGCATAAATGGCATTATTTATTGCTCTAAGTTTTTATAGATGTCTCATACCTGGGACGATGGGGCTTAATAGGTTAAATGTCATTGTATTTTCATCTATATTATGATAACATGCATATGTTTCTCAATTTTTTTCCACCCAAATGAAACATGAAAAGTTGTTACAGAGTCATGAAGAACTTTTGCTCCTGTGGAGGAGGTTCGCAGACCAAGGCTGCCATCTCTCCTTTCTTACTATCTTTATCCTACCAAAATTGAAAGAAAGCTTTCAGAAAAGCTCAGCCTTGTATTCCCACCATGCAGTTTCTGCAAAATGAAATGGGCTCCATGATGTGCCATATTTTAGCCTCATGCTGTCTGGTATCTGACGTAATAGGTACTGATGCGACAATCCCAAGTTTTCCTTTAGGGAAGGGCCACTTACTTGGGCAGGACCACCTGGACCCTCTTGGGCACCATCATGCTCATCCAGCTGTTTACGGTCTTGGTGCTGATGTGGGGGATGATGGCCGACAGTGGGGTGGAACTCTCGGTTGGCAGGGCAATCAGCATGCTGATGCTTTCCCCGTGGTAGGGCAGTTCTATGAAGTTGTACCATAAGTCACCAGGGGTGCTTGTAGACCCTAAAGAAATCAGGGGCAGGTTCAATGTACCTTCAATGACTTCTGAAGGGGCATGAGTGATTGCTGGTCACCAGGGGAGCCCTGGAGGGAAGATAGCAATTCCCCTGGAGAATCTCCCTTTACCAGAAGTAGCTTCCTCAGAAGGACAAAGATAAGGTCAATGATTTCTTCCTTCCCTGGTGCAGAATCCTTTCTTCAGTCGAGACAGAACGCCGTTGGGCACCACTGACCTTACTTCAATTTTGTTGAGTAGACTTTAACTAGATCATTAGGCACTCGGAATACAGTGCTTTACAAGAAGTTGACCTTTACATGAATAAAAGAATGGATCTGTCTACCTTAGAATCAGTTTTTTTTTTCATTCAGTTTTTTAAAACATAAATTGCATTGTGTATAATTAAGGTATACAACATGATGTTATGGGATACATATGGAGGGCAAAATAATTACAATAGTGACACAAATGAACATACCATCTCACATTTGCTTTTTTTTTTTTAAAGAGAGAGGAGGTATTATGTATTTTTGTGACAAGAACAGCTAAAATTTATTCATTTAGCAGGAATCCCATATACGTACAATTGTATTATCTATGCTCCTTACTTTGGGTAAATGTTTGTGTGTGTATGAAAAGAAGAGAGAGGAGAAACAGCTTCTATCATTTAGGGCCCACTCTGCCTGGCGCACACCGACCACTTGGACAGACACAGAGCCTGCAGCCTCCAGGAGGTAGGCACTGCTGGCCCTATTTTACTGGAGGAGGTCACAATGAGAGAAGTTTAACAGTCTGCCTTATTTCGCTACCATGACTCCCTTCTCACTACGCACCTCTCCAGGAACTACCACCAGGGTTTTTAGATATTTTAGGGTACTTACATCTCCTAAGAAAATCTCAAGAATGATTTAAATCAGCATATCTCAAAATATTGTCTAGAGCATACACTATCTGGAAGCTGCTCTATAGACACATTGACATTCCACATTGTAGTAAGTTTGGGAAGTACACAAGCAAGTCTTCTTACAGATTCAGAATCTATACCAGTACTGTGAAGGCTGAGACATTTCACAGCTGAGAAAAGCATTTAACCCTATCTATCCCCATATTTCCCAGGCTAATTTGACCTCTTAATTCCAAGTAAAACGTTAAAAACATTTAGCAAGTGATATGGTTTCACTGTTTCCCCTGAAAGTCACACGTTAGAAACTTAGTCTGCAAATTCGTATGTATATGGTATTAGGAGGAGGGGCCTGAGGGAGGTAATTGGGACTAGATGAGCTCCAGTGAGTGGGGTCCCCATACTGGTATAAGGGCTTTATAAGAAAAGGAAAAATGACCTGAGCTAGCATGCTTGCTTGTCTCACCCTGTGATGCCTGTCGCCATGTTATGATGCAGCAAGAAGGCCCTCACCAGATTCTGACAGATGCCAGCACCATGCTGCTGGACTTTCCAGCTTGCAGAACATCAAGCCAAACAAACCTCTATTCTTCATCAATTACCCAGTCTTAGATCGCTTGTTATAGCAACAATAAGAACAAAAGGCTAAGATGGCTACCAAGCAGCAAAACTGAGCACTGGTGGAAAAGAGCCACGCCATTCTGTGATCTTGCAGTTGCAGAAGTTCCAAATAGGTAATTATTTATTTAGACATAGTGATTGCTCTCTAAATCAGGTACCACCTCCTTCGGGACATATGAGACCGTATTAAATTGTATTTATTATCTAATTTATTTTTTAGCCAGTTATGTAAAATAAACTTACATGCTATTTTTTCCTGCTCTGATTTTTGCCATTAAGCCTTTAAATTCTAAACCAATTGTAATGCATCCATTTAGGAGTCAGAACTGAATGTGCTATGGGTATGAATATCAATAGAAAGTCTGTGTGTTTCAAGCCTCTCCACAAAATATGAAAAGTGCTCTTAGCATTCTGTGCTAAAACTGCATTGTTAAATACATGTGTACAATAAAAAAAAGAAAAAACATAATCACGGAGGGTGCCAGCTTGCCACCCAGCTCATGGCAAGAGGCCCAGGAAGGCTACTAACCAACCCTCGGAGAAAGTTTTCCATAGAGCATGCCAGAGAATTCAATTAAATATTTAAATCAGTCATGTATTGAAAAGAGTTACACAAACTTAATTAGATGAATGGGACACTAGTGTTTCCAGATTTATGGTGGATTTCTGAAGTGTTTCATTAGGCACATCAAGCTTTTAAGAACTCTGGTCTTGGTGCCGTTGTCGGAACCGCCTCCTTGTGTACAGAATGGAGATGTCAGGGTGCTACAGTCTGTGCCTCCGAAAGGGCATGACGATTAAATAAGAAAACAGCTGGGGCCCTGGGCAGGCCTGGCCCAGGGTCTGTGCCCAGTGAATTTTGGCTCCTGCTCTTCCAAATGATCTTGAGGGACAACACAATTATGAAAGAATAAAAAGGTGGGTTTTCCTTCACTAGTTTCTCTGGATTTTCCTCTGGGGAAGCCCCCCGGCCATCACTGCACTGGAGATGGGGGACTTCAGCAGCCAGGTCTGAGAGGGACCAGTCCAGGGAGAGAGCAAAAGGCACAAGGAGAGAAAGAGCGGGATCTTTGTCACAAAACAAATGCTTTTAGCCATAAAATATGATAAAACAGTGAAGCTACTAGAATATTGATGCTCTAAGGTGACATGACAGCTGCTCCTCTGGGAAGAAGACGTGGGCCGTCAGCAGGGTTGCCACGTGCTGCGTAGCCTGTGGGCCATCCAGGAACCCAGCACCACCCGCCTCGGCTCAGGATGCTGTCAAGTCAGCTCAGCCTGGCTACCCGAGATCAAAGTTAGCACTCTTCATCTTCATTTTCAGTCTGTGCAATAAAATGGTCTCAGCAGAAACTGCGAAGTCAAGAAAAATGAGGGGAAAAAAAAAGATCACTTCCTAACAAACCTCTTAATCCTAGAAGAAAACTTAAGTCCTATTTTGGCAGAGCCGATTTTTAGAAACTGTAAAAATCTGGTAAGTAGTTAATAAATTATTGTTCCAGGGCATAACATAAGGACTTGGAGGCATTAATTGTGTTTAGAAATATTTACTGTTCTGATGAGAAGGATGGAGGCTATGAATAATGAAAGAGCCTGAGGTGGGGAGGTGGCACACCTGTCCACAGACTAAGCCATCCTTGACTGGCTATACACCACCACTGATTAGCAATACTGACAAGTGTTCTGCACCCAGCGCTCACATCTGCGTGACGAATGACCTTTTCCAGGTTCTACTTCTGCTTCTGACCACAGTATCTGACCAACATCAGATGCTCCACCCACATCCATGCTTGGCTTCAGGTGGCAGCTTGAGGAGTTGAGAGAGAAATCAATACCTCTCCTCTCCTTCTGTCTGGTCACCACAGCAGCCTTTACAGCAGATCCTGGAACCCAGATTCAGGACTCCCTCCACAGCACACCAGCTCTGAGACTTTGGCAAGCTCCTTAGCTCCAGTCTTAAGTTTATTTATCTGTAAAATGCTGTGATAACGCCTTGCATGAAAATGGAATGAGATAATATGTACAGAGTGCTCAGCACAGGCTGGCACATGGCCAAAACTTCCAGGAGAAGTTTGCTCACTTCTTCGACATTAGGTCACTGCTCAATCTGACCACAGAATCAATGCACAGAGGATTATCACACCTGCTACCCTGGAACTCGACTCCCGAGCAGGAAGGTACCTGGGAGCTGGGATCAGGGTGTGGAGCTGCTTGTGGTCCCAGAGCTTCTTCCTCTAAAGTGCCCACTCCTGCTCCCTGCGCCTCAACACTTGGTAACTACAGCAGGGGTTCTTCAATGACAGTCTGCAGTGTATACAGTGGGAAGCAGGTTCACTCACTCTGAAAAGAACAGACAAGTCTTTTCTTTTAGATGAATGGTGATCAACCAAACTTTTTATGGGAAACATAATAAGTAAACTAGTCAAGTACTGCAAGTATGAGGAGATTTGGGAATTCCAGTTCTCCTGGAAAGCCCTCTATAATACTCTTATTCCCACTTTAAGTCCTACAAGGGAAGATATGACTAAACTCAGTGAAATGCTAAGAACTCTTCTCAGCCTTAAAATCAAAGAGACTATTTTAAATATTCAGTACTAGGAAAGCTTTATAAATGAAAGTCCCTCTAATTTCCTTATACCAAAAGTAACTATGGATTTCCTGAGCTCTTAAAAAACTTTGGGAGAAATGAAATTAAAAACAAAACAAAACAAAACAAAACAAAAAAACCCAGATTGACTACATATAGCTATGGACATTGTGGAATGAAGTCCAAGAGGAGTTTGGAGAAATGATGGGGTGTGGGAGGGCAGTGTGTGCGCTTCAGCAACTGGGTGAGCACTGGAGCCATCTGCTGCTGAGGAACCTCAGAGGGAAATCAGGTGGGCAAGAAGGGGAATATCATCAGTAGGGGGCAAGTAGAGAAGTAAGATGTCAGACAGGTGTGAGCTGCAAACCTGGAAGAGAAAGACAAGCTTCAAATGAACGTCTGATTTTTTTTTTTTATTTTTTGTGATCTTTTGCAGAATAAAGTTCCTAGTGTCTAAATCATAACCATAAAGACAAGAAAGTAACAACTTTGACTCAGCAATCTTCATTCGAGTAAATTACCTTTAGAAGTACTGATGTAAGAATCTAGAAACTGATGTTTAAGAATACTTATTGCAGTGCTGTTCATTATAGGAAAAAAGTAAATGGCCATCGATAGGACATTAAGGCAAGCTGATGATGGAATACTACCCAGCTGGTAAAATCACCTAAAGCCTCAAGAAAAAGTTTTCCATAATATTCTTGCTAAGGAAAAAAAAGCAGGTTATGGAATAGAAATTACATTTTAATCTTATATATGCACAAAAGCTTCATAAATACTTTATATATCTGTAGAAAAAATCTCAAATGATATACCTAGCATTTAGTAGGGGTCTTATCCTAGGAAATGTGACTATAGGGGAACTTATACTGTTTATTTGATCTTGCAGTGAGTGT